TTAATTACATTAATCTATGTTATATACCGGGTTTGTGAAAATGGCAGTGATAGAGGATCTTTAATTATATTAGTTAATGGTATATCTGTTTTCTTAGTTTCGTTAATGATATGTCAGTAAGAGAGATACCGAATTCATCAATATCGCAGAAAATATAGTACATATATATTAAATGCTGTATAAAGTATCGAATACGAATATTAAATCTTGTATGAAATATCGTGTATGCAAATTAAATATCGCATGCTAATGTTCTATATCGTATATGTACTTTTATATTTAGCCAGTACGGGTGGCGCAAACTTCATCAATAGCTGTATATGATATCCCAGATAATTTACATATATATGGTAATTAAATATCGGTATGGATAAGGCCAGCTACATACATCATTATAATCACTGGTCAGGTATTTGTTATGATATATTAAATAAATTAACTTTAACGATATTCCTTGCTGTCAGTAATTGCTCTTGTAATATTTAAATTCGTATTGGCGTGTGTGACGTCACGTTAGTTGTTCAGATGTACGTTGTGATTTAATAACAATGTTTATGGTATAAATGTTTGTGAATTAGGGTGGAAGAGAGACTCAAAGTCATTATGGATTTGCTCAATCATCAGTAAAGAGGATATGCGTGTAAAATTAATTTCGGAATTGCTAAGTTTATTAACGACGTCGGCGATAATTGAAATAAACTTGAGAGATAGATGTTATATGAATATTAAAGAGAAAAATATACATCATCAAGGTGTATATTCCAGTCACTGAAATATCACTGTTAAATGACAGGTACGTTTTATGTCAAAATCGCTTGTCGAGTATTTGTTGTAATTTAGAGAGGATGAAATAAGAATATGAATATGAATATATATATATATATATATATATATATATATATATATATATATATATATATATATATATATATATACATATATACATATATACATATATATATATATATATATATATATATATATATATATATATATATATATATATATATATATATATATATATATACATATATACATATGTATATATATATATATATATATATATATATATATATATATATATATATATATATATATATATATGTATATATATATATATATATATATATATATATATATATATATATATATATATATATATATATATATATATGTATATTCATATTTGTGTGTGTGTGTGTGTGTTGTGTGTGCGTAAAAGAGCAAATAAATAAATATATATATGTACTTATCCATTTAATTATACACATACAAATATATACGCACACATATATACTACATAATCATTATAATTATTACATAGGCATATAGAGAAATATCAACGATATGGGTTTATATTAAGCCCATTAACAATAGCACTGATACATCCACACAGTAATTACTTCAGCATTGTTGGTCATCCCAGTAAAACCAGTTGATGCGAAACGTAAATAATTAGGTAATTTGGTTTGATTTGAGCTTTATTTATTAATGATCCTTTCTAGGAACCTGGTTTATTAATAGGTTTATTTTTCTTCTTTTTAAGTTATATTTTTTCAGGTATTGCATGCTATTCGTATTTTCTTTTTCTGTAACTATGGATTTTTTATTTTTTTTATAGTACTCGTATATTTTACAAAGTTATATAAAGGGAAAGGTAAACTTTATAAGTACATGCATATTGAAGCATATGATTTTTTTAAATATATGCAAGAAGCGATTTTTTCTCTTTTTTTGTATGTTTCTTCCTCGTGTCTCATATCAATAATATTGATTTTTTAAATGTTGATTTACATATGCTTGAATGTTTTTTTTATGACACTCCAAACCGGAAACGTTTCATTTTTTTTCTTAATTATTCTATTTGCATATTAAGCTTACAGAAAAATAATGATAATAATAATAAAAAAAATAGTTATCAAAATACGGAGAAAACTATAATTTATCTAAATAATAAACAAACTGTAAATAAAGACGAAATCGGATAGTCACACTGTGCATGATGCTACGTCAATCGTGAAAAAAAGTTTATTGTGTTCTGAATAGTAACGACCGTTATTAGTATGGGTAAAAGCGCATTTCCGGGATAATCTGCCAGGCCCGGTAGACTATACATGTGTTGCCGGAAGTTACGTCACGAAAAATCAAGGCCACTTATACCATGGCGCCTGCTTAATATTCAATGTTTTTTGTATGGTCTATGTCTGTCTGTCCGTCTGTCTCTCTCTCTCTCTCTCTCTCTCTCTCTCTCTCTCTCTCTCTCTCTCTCTCTCTCTCTCTCTCTCTCTCTCTCTCTCTCTCTCATTCTCTCTCTCTCTCATTCTCGTTCTCTCTCTCTCTCTCTCTCTCTCTCTCTCTCTCTCTCTCTCTCTCTCTCTCTCTCTCTCTCTCTCTCTCTCTCTCTCTCTCTCTCTCTCTCTCTCCATGTCTGTTTGTGTTTTGGCCTTTTTAGATAAGAAAATGATAAAAGAACGGTGGCACATGTATGGCTATTGGTTATTACAAATTGAGTCAGTTGGACTAGAAAAAATAAATAAATAAATATCCCGCCTACAACTCACCGACAGCCATTTCAGGGCCTCAACCTTCCTTAATTAACGCCTAGACATGTGGCAGAGACGGAATACGGTTGCACAAATTAGCCGCCAAGTTAATGACTTCGTACTCCACAACTGCCATAGTCTGCAAGATCAGTGAAAGCTTCATTTGACTGTATTGAACGAAATTCCGCGTGACCGATAGCTCGAGGAAAACACTGCCTTCGGTTGTCATGTATAAAAATCTTACTCGATATCTGCCACCTTCGCTATATCTTAGAGAGAAATTACACTGACGCAGTAGCATATATTTTAACCATTGTCACTCCTAGAAGTGTTATTCAGAGGGTGCCACGTCTGCAGAATGATACATGGAAATTGTACGTGGTTAATCTCACTTTCTCTCATAGGTTTTCTGAGTTTATGGGCGTTTTCAGCTAAACTTTGGTACTTCAAATATATGACGTCCTTGAAATACTGATCTCTGAAAGTTTAGTTCTGGTAATTGCCTCATTTTCTTTCGCAAAAGAAAACTAACCTCGAGAGTGGGGGACTGAGGTATGTATTTCCTGCATGAATCGATATTCAGATATTATGACACGAATGCTTAATGTAAAATCATCTCGAGCGATTTTTTAAGAAATTAATTTATTTATGTAGCACATCATCGAAATATATGCTCTTCCTTGCTCTAGGACTATGTAAAGCAAATATAATTCCAACTTTCAAATATTAAGTTCAGATTACAAATGTGGCAATATTCAACAATTAGACTTTCTCTGTTAATTCTAATTAATGGTCTCAGTATTTACTGAAAGGACAATGATAAATAAATCGTATTTTTCCAACAAAAATAACTAATATACAAGTTAGCTTCTCCCTTTCCCACAGCACTGATTTAAAGCTAATTTCATCCTAACGATTCCTATATATATAGAACTAATAGATGACATATTTCTTAAATGTGATACCTTCTATAAATCTCCAATAAGACAACATGCATAATGAAGTAAGGTCCCCTCTTCCGCAGGTGTTTAATATGTCAGTCGAGGATATGAATTTCGGCTCATACATCCCCATGGCTGACAGGAAACTACTCGGCATGTTTGAAATTTTGTCTCGACGCATAGACCAGGTGGAACACGGGGTAAGTTTGTGTGTTTTCTTTTCCTCTGTTTATCTATATTGTTGTGATATTTGATGAGGACACCTTTGTTTTAAAACATTAGCATCCAGCTGTGTATCAGACGTGTGCATGCCTATAAGCTATATAGTAATATGAGAGTTTACATATATATATTGGACGGCATCATGAAAATACGGAGCTGTAACTTTGATGGAAGTGGCCGTCTACTTTCAAGTTGAAATTTAGATGCCTGAGTGATTGCTCACAGTGACAGGGGGTAGGGGGGGGTAAAGAGAGAAGGGAGTAGGAAGAGAGGGGGGGTAGGGAGAGTAGAGATACGCACACACATAGTCAGACAGACTCTTGGAGAAGAAGAGACAGAGAAATAGGACAGAATAATAGAGGCAGGCAGACAGCGATGGAGAGGGAGAGAGAGAGAGAGAGAGAGAGAGAGAGAGAGAGAGAGAGAGAGAGAGAGAGAGAGAGAGAGAGAGAGAGAGAGAGAGAGAGAGACTGACTGACGAACAGACAAACCTCAGAGACAGAGTGAGAGGAAGTAGCATGAGACATGAGACCTTTTTTATATATTTCCGAAACCCCAAATACTTCGAAACACTCTGATACATGTTTGCCCTTTATTGGAACCTGCTGAAACATCTTTTCATTTTGTATCAAGTTGAAGGCAAACATTTTGATACACTTCGGCCAGCCAATCAGAGCGAGATATTTTTCAGATATATTTCACGTAGTCTTAGATAGGAATTTATATTGTCATTGATTACGAGTCCCATCGTAAGTTTCTTGATATGACTTTTTGTAAAATTGTAGAAAATGTTTCTGTGCCTTTTTAGCAATACATCAAATAAATGTTCACTCTGTATGGGCAAGATTTGAAGTCAATCATGGCGGTCGTTGGAGCATGATAATAATTTCCAACGTGTCCGAGTCACGTGGTTATTGACTTCGTTGGGATGAATGTCTTCAAAATCATTCTGTACCTCTATGACATAACCTTACGGGCTCAAAAATATCAAAGAAAATGCTGTATATCTTGATTTGTTGATATGATTCAATCAATAAGACAATGTAAATGTCCGTAATAATTGGAATTACCCAGTTGTGTGGTTTAGAAACGGAACTCGCTCGCTGCGGATACGATAAGATGCATAACCTTATGCATTTTCCACTGTTCATACTGAAGAACAATGTATTTAATGGGGAAAAATGATTGACAGAATCTGAGAAATACATTCAAACTTTCCACAGCCTTGCAAAGCGGAGAGTGGTGTGAGTTGTCAGATACTTTTTCCATTTTATTTGAAGTTTCCACAATGTCT